TGGGACCGAATAGGAGTAATGAGTATATTTTAATAAAAAGAAAAGCTTACTTTTCCCGAGCCGTGAGGCCCTTCTCCTCTTCTTACACCCACACCATCGATTCGTATGTCAATCAAAATCTTGCAAGTGGAGAGAAGGAATGTTGTAATTTAGAAGAAAGATTGAATATAATCAAGCAAGAGACAACACTTTTTCTTAGGAAGGCTTTGATGGGAAAGAAATAGTGTATATCGATCGTAATAAACTGTATAGACAAGGGGAGGAATGGAGGAGCTATTGCAGGAAATGCTCTACCTAACAAGCAAATAGACCACAGAACACAGGAGATTATCAACCACTAGATGATACACTGATAGTAGATGAAAACTACACCCTATGCTGAATTTTCTTATTTGAATAATGATCACGACTTTTTTAAATAGCTCGTGCCTCCGACTATAGACAGAATTTGTTGCTACGTTGCTGGCATTTAGAACTTGCTATTATTGAAAACTTTTATTCTAGAATCTACTAGTTTTGCAGTGGCACGCGGTGAAATGTGGTTTGCACAAGGAGCTTGTAATCACACATCTAATTCTCAAGCGCATCAATACTAGGCATAGCTCTCATGTTCAACCCCCTTTACTCCCCCCCCCCTTCTTTCCCCCAAAGCTGCGAAATATACACGCCGAACCCTTCCCCCCCCCAATTTCTAGTATTGATACTAGTCTTCTAAAAGTCTATTATTATACCTCTCCCATGAATTTTATGTGTTCTAGCTGTAGTTCTACACTCCATTACCTTAAGAGGATAATTGGTACGCCTGGGCACGAGACGTCTCGTCATTTACTAGGCTGGTCTCGAGACTTTTGCATATAAGGCATCCAACAGAATAATAATTATAATCAAACTCGCTAGCTAGCTACATCAGTCATCTTCCACTTCAGCATCAGCGTCAATATCCTCTTCAATGCCCTCTTCCACTAACCCTCGCTCTAAAACCATGTCAAGCGGTGTAAACTCATCAAACCCCAACCAATACTTGCAACACATAATTGCATTAGCCATTCCCTCTGTCATTACACTTCTCCGCTTAGTTGATACATTTCCCGCAATAGAAAAACAATCTTCAGACGGTACACTGGTAGCAGGTATAGCAAGATAATCTCGAGCCATGCGACTGAGGTTAGGAAACCGAGACTCATAAGTGCGCCACCATTCAATTGGATCAACCTGTGGAAGTTCAACCTTTTCCTCCAAAAATATATCTACCTCCGACATCTCTGGAATTGTACTGCTGGCTTGTGAAGAACCAAATACTGCTGTCATAAAGTCGTCTTCAAGGTATTTGGTGCTTTGTACTGGAGGTGGAGTAGAAGGGCGTGAGGATGTAGCAGAAGGAGCATACTGGTTCTGATAAATTCGCTGAATAGCTTCTTCTGCCTCTAAGATCCACTCGGTTCGCCATCCAAGGTTCCGAAATGTTTGAACTTTGCATCGTGGATCTAGCATAGTTGCAATTGCTTGTGCAGAACCAGTTTTGCTATGATATTCATCAAGCTTCTGCCAGCTAGCAGTGCAAGCCTCATGAAAAATAGATTTCATGAGCTCCCGTTCTACTATAGTCTCCAAACGAGTTGCTAATACTGAAAAGTATGGAAGCTGTGCAGATAAGGTAGGATAGCTACTTCCGCTCAAATATTTAATAGCTTTAATAAAGATATCGAGAATATCTTTTAAGTTTTTGAAGAAGTGACCATTCATCTGTATGAATTTGTAAACTCCGCAGGTGTTCTTCCAATCTAAAGTAGTTAGTATATTAATTAAAAATCTGGAGTTATATACATACTTGCATACAGCATCAATTGTAGGTCGCAATTCTAATATACGTTCAAGCATGGCATGTGTAGAATTCCAGTGTACAGGCATATCCAAAATAGGGCGTTTAGGTGGTATGCGTGCTGCTTGAGCTTGAGCTTTTAGTGATTCCCATAGACGATGAGATGATTGGATTTTGGCAATAATTTTGCGTGCTTTATAAGATGCTTGAGCTAGTTGAGTTCCTTTAAGTTGATTTTCTTGAGTTCCTTCAAGTTGATTTTCGAAGTCTTCTTCATCGTCTGCCAGATTTGCTTCATTATGAACTGGTGTTGTCTGTAGAGTTTTCAAGAGTGTCTGTACACCGCTGTCAGAGATGTCGCAACTGTAAACTGGAAGTCGTAGATTTGGCTTCCACGGTCCACTCCCCTCTTGTGCAGTGTGTACAGAAGATAATATGCTTACTTTCATCATGTTCCAATGTCTTCCGTATTAGCATCTTTCGAGTATATACATAACTGCTGAATTTCCGTAAGCATGTAGTTCCGCTAATAGTGCGTGAATCTTGAAGCATAGCGCCTTGCCAAAGCCGTGATATATTCATCTGGTGTACGAGCAGCCGATACGGAAATTTGGCTCATTGTAGATGTAGTAGAGGAATGTGCAGATAATGAGTGAAGGAGGAGGAGGAATGTGTAGATAATGAGCGAAGGAGGAGGACGAATGTGTAGATAATGAGCGAAGGAGGAGGACGAATGTGCAGATAATGAGCGGAGGAGAAGGAATGATACCTACCTTTTAAGTCGCCAGCTTTAGTATCGAATAACACTAACATAGTGTCTAAACTTTGTATGTCGCAACCAATGACAAGGTTTTGCCGCCACTGAAAAATTTTCACCAAAAGTCTCGAGACGTCTCGTGCCCAGGCGTAATAATTGGCCGAAAGCATGAAGGGTCTCCTTCCTAGGCGCAAAACTAATATCTTCTAATCTGAACCTTTGTCCTAGATATGCAAAAACTACAATAAGTATCCTGAACTCACAGTTACCTAGCTTATTGTAATGGGGCTATAGGTCGAGGGCCTATGGACGGGTTCCAAGGAGCGCTGCTGCGACTAGGACTATAGTATAGATATGTAAAGGAAGTTCAAGGAGGAGCGTATTGTATTCAGCACAGCTAAAGTACAAGACGTTATATGAAGAGAGAGGGAACATGATAGTGGGATTTGGAGATACTTTTATAAGAATCTCCTCCGAAGTCTGAGTTATCATGATCACACACGGATTCTATAACATAACTCTAAACGCTCATGTGAATAACTCCAAGTATTTGGTGGGCTGTGGCACTATCCTTCCTCTTTGGCCGGGGTCTCGTGAGGTGCTAAGCTCCTGGCAGGTCTAGATTTATCAGGGTAATACTCAATTTTTTTTTTCATTTAAGATTCTGATTACTACTATTCTGTCCCAGTGAGGGGATCATGAGGAGCCACCTGGAAACAGTAAAAATCGCACGCACGGCTGCGCGAATGTATGAGAGAGATGAGATGTATATTGATGTGTATCACTGTGATCCATAGTGATCTATACGGGCGCTCAAGGCCCCATTAAATACACGAACTTTTCAGTAACAACGGAATGAAAAACAGAAACGTGACCTGGCGATATCATGCCCTCTTTAACCATATGCGGGCACACTCATACATCCGCATATCCATTCATCCGCATCCGTATTTTACATGATATCCGCCTACTCCTCCTTCCGCATTCATATTTCCTGCGACATCCGCTTTTATCCGCTCCTCCGCGTTCAAATTTCACATGACACTTGCAAGCGGATTATCGCTCTTAACAGAAACTCAAGTGGATTCAGGACAAGACAAGTTAACCTGCCAGGTCCGGTACCTAGATACCATGAACAAAAATAAAGAACCAATAGGTAACAGCAGAAATAACTAAATAACGATATAAACTCAAGAGCTGATTGACACACGAAATATAAGATGTCAAGTGATGTGGACCCCCATGTTGTCATTAACTGGTGGAACAGATGACCCCGAGAGGCCTGACTGAGGCTGGAGTACAAATAATCTTACTGTCACTAACCGATGGGTGCCGGATGACCCCGAGGGGCCTGACTGAAGCCCACTCCAATAGAACCAGTGTGAACCTAAAGAAAGTGAAAAGTAAATAAACTCAACAGCTTGTTGCCGTTATCTCACTCCCTATGTTCATCCATTAGAGCCCCCTCGTCCAGCTAACTCTGAAATAACTTCAGGGTCATGGGCCCCCTTTCCCGGCAAACTGTCTATATAGGAAGCCGCAGAAAGCCTCTACTGAGTCCCATTCGTCCCCGTCATCCTCAGGGTAACGCTCATGGAACCGCACCGCTTCTAACGCTTTGACTTCCTACGCTGCCTTCCATTCCATCTGGTCATCACCTACAAACTTGATCAAGTGCTACTGGAGGCGTCAGCGGTGGATCCTTGCATTCGGAACTTCCTCCACTTAGTGTTCCTCTTCCCAACCCACCATCACTGGGGGGCGGGGGCAGGTTGTACTGGCCAGGAAGGGCCTCATTGACGGCTAGGTCCATATGACACACTCGGTGAAACTTGATGCTGGCAGGGATCCAAATCTCGTGTGCATATGTGGGGATATGATTCTTGGTAATTGGATATGGACTGATCCTTCAATGACCGGCTTCCTGCTTGGATGCTTCTTTGTGTTGAACCACACTTGATGTACATAGATTGTCTCAAAGTACACGTTTAGGAGTCGTCTGGTTGGTACAAGCCTCTCGTAGAGGATAGCAGTAGTCTGGTTGGTACAAGCCGCTCGTAGGGTCGTCTGGTTGGCACAACACCCTCCACAGGAAATCTGGCTTAACCTAACTGGCAGTAACATTTAAAACCTAGGCTTGGTACTTTTACTAGAGCAAGGCAATACAAGATTCTCGCTATCAGGCAGTTATCATAAAACGGCACAGTGGTCTAATGGTATGACACCTGCTATGTAGGTACCTGCTGATTCAGGCAGAGGGCGGGTGATCTGGGTTCAATCCCCAGCTGAGCCATTATTTTTTTTGGATTTTTTATCGCTGGTATATATATAACCGCTAAGCCTCGGAAAGTTCATGTGCCAAGTTATTACTAGTTTTTATAAGGGAAATACAAGACTCTCACTATCCGGCAGCTATCATAAAAAGGCACAGTGGTCTAATGGTATGACACCTGCTATGTAGGTATCTGCTGATTCAGGCAGAGGGCGGGTGATCTGGGTTCAATCCCCAGCTGAGCCATTATTTTTTTGGGATTTTTTACCGCTGGTATATATATAACCGCTAAGTCTCGGAAAGTTCATGTGCCAAGTTATTACTAGTTTCTATAAGGAAATACAAGACTCTCACTATCCGGCAGCTATCATAAAAAGGCACAGTGGTCTAATGGTATGACTCCTGCTATGTAGGTACCTGCTGATTCAGGCAGAGGGCGGGTGATCTGGGTTCAATCCCCAGCTGAGCCATTAATTTTTGGCTTTTTGGCCGGAACGTCCAGATTCTTCCTCCTCCACCGACAACACTCTTCACACTATCCCTAAACGTAACCTGCTCTGGAAACACTCCTCCATTTGCCCTAAGTATGCTTCCCGCGTCATATTGTTAGTTTTTATCGACAGCCCCACGCCAGCCGCCAGTCCTAGACCGGAGCTCATACAGCAAGACCGCTATAGCTAACCATCCATCCATCACAGGTGGAAATTCATGAAAACTACTCTGCTGCTATAACTGTAGATAGATTTGGAAAACCAAATTGAAAGTCAAATATATGTACACGCGACAGTACCAGGCCTCAGATGCAAAGTTTGGAGGCAATATTATATTATTGCCAGGGGTTTAGGTTCTTTCCCATCATGGTCTTTCCCGAGCCCTTTTACTTAAAGCCGATGGCCTGGCTGAGGAAAGAGTAGTGGAAGCCTTTTTTAATTTTACTTTTAATTTTATTTTAAATATTTATTACACATATACGGTCCCGGTAAGGGGACCATGATGAGCCACCCGGAAACCCGGGTAGATTCAGGACAATGGCAAGTTAATCTGCCAGTTCGTAGTGTTATGTACAAATAATCATCAAAGCAAAAGTAGTCTCGCATAAAAACATAAAAAGGAAGCTCGCAAAGGGATCTTGTCAAGCAGCTCCCGGGCTGCCCTCAACCGGTATTCATTGCAATATCATCTCGGAGGAGAAGGTGAACGTAGCTCCTTTTTTCCCAATGATCCTGGTGCAGAGCGACCAAATTGAATGCGCTCTTTGCACCTTAAGCCTCTTCGCATAATCCCCGCTGACTTCATGTTGGACTATGTTACTTATACCCACTTCTGGCGAGTTGCTTTTTTTTTTTTTTTAAGTCTATACGTCTGTGAAGCCTAAGGTCTCGTTCCCTGATCTTAGAAGACTTGGTACACCCACGAGACGACGGGCTACATAAACGCCCTACCTCCCGAACCAAGGAAAAGCAGAAAAAAAACCCCTTCCTCCGCCACGCCCGCTGTCCGGCCTCCCCACCGAGATTAAAACTGTAACCTCCCCCGCCACGCCCCGTGCCGGCCCTCCCCTTTTTTGAATAGCCGAGGCTCATCTCAGGTCGAGATTGGAGAAGAAGGTTTCTACAAGGTCGACGGTGGTTTCCCTCCCCCCGTCCCTCACCTTCTTGAGCCACCTCCCCCGCTCATCCATCTCTTCCCAGCTCCCCCACCTCCTGCCAATCTCCTCCCCCCGTGGGCAAACCAGGGCAACATGCTTGCCCGTCTCCACATGCCGGCCGCAAGTGCGGCATGTGGGGTCAACTGTGTCATCTAGCTTTGCCCGCCACGATTGAAGGTTGCCCTTCCCTGTGCGGCAATGGACATAGTTGACTCTGGCCTTCCTTCCCCACCTCACCACCCTACTTCTGCCTGTGCCTTCTACCTTTCTCTCTGCCTCCCGCCTTCTTCTCCATTCTTGCTTCAGGCCCCCCTCCGTGATCAGGGGGTTACCCGGGTAGTTACTGGTCCTCCGCCCCCGCTTTAGCCAAGGCGTCGGCCCGTTTGTTGCCGGGTATCCTCACATGTGCCTTGACCCAGCCTATTTTGACGGCCTCCCGCCCTAGGGTCTCTTGCCTGTTCCTTATTTCCAGAACCGCCTTCCTCAAATCTGCCGTCCTGGCTTTCCCCCTCTTACCTGCTTTCCTGATTGCTGCCAAGGCCGCCTGGGAGTCCGTTAGGATGAGGATTTTCCATTCCGGAGGGGACTTCTCCAATGCCTTCCTTATACCCCCGACCTCACCATCCCAAACTGTGCACATGCGCCTCATTCCTACGCTGCCATTAGACCGCCCCCCTTCTGAGCACCATCCCCCCCCACCCTTCCCTCCTCGCTCATACTGCCATCGGTATAAACTACCACAGCGTCCTCCTTAGTCTCTGCTATCTTCCTTACCCACCGGTCAGGCTTCGAGTCTCTCGCCAGGCCCAAGTCCACAACCGGAGCGTCCATTAATGGGACCCTCCCGCCAATACTTAGCCTCTCATTCCCCTCTTCCTTCAAGCAGCCTACTTTACTCCAGATTGCTGTCATGGCTGAGGTGAAGCCATCGCTCTGCTGGAATGGCTCGCTAAAGTCATCCCATGCCCTTCCATCCTCTAAATTCCTCCCCATGTCGTCTCTCCAGAGATCCCCCAGAGCGCTAGGATCCCTCATCATCTTTCCTGCTAGCCTTGCCTGAGCTGCGTCTAAGACCATTCTCGGTGATTCCACTCCAGCGATTTGGCTTACCAGCTCTCGGCTAGAGCCATGGGTCGCATTGATACATTTTTTGAGAGCTTGGTACTGGAGCTTCTCAAGCTCCTCAAGCTCCTCTTCCCAGTCCCTCTGGCCTCTCCAACTTAGCTCTGCTCCCCATAGAGCCACCGCCCTGATCATCCCAGTATAGGCAGCTCTCCAACTGTTTGCACTCATGCCCCAGTTGGAGTTCCCTAGACCATTTAGCTGCCCTAGCATCCTACGAGCCTTTTCAATCCGGCTTTTCCAATGCTCCCTGAATGTTAAGCTCTCATCCATGATGATGCCTACCCATTTAACCCACTTCACATCTTTATTGTTCCTCCTCCTCTTCTTCCTAAGCACCATCTTCTCGTGCTTCGAATCCTCTAGTGGCAGATGACACTCCTCCACCACCTTGCGTACCGCCTCATCCGCGCGTTGGAGTACCTCATTCATGTCTGTATCTTGTGTAGTAGCCCTGTCCCAAACACATATATTCAGATGAAGGTCGTCTTAGACTTGTCTACGTACGAGGGGAGCTCGTTATCCCAATCACCTGCCACCTCCCTGATCTCGGCCTCCATTCTTGTGATTATTGGTGTCATCCATATCAGGAAGATCACTGGAGATAGCGGTGATCCCTGGGGTGCCCCTAAGTTTGTCCTTCCATTTCCCCGGACCTTGCCATCCCAGACTAGCTCAAACCTTCTTGCCCTGAAGAACCCCCTTATCCAGGGGATCCATCTCCTCCCTTCCTCCGATTCCCTTAGTGCTTTGACCACATCCTCTTCTCTGACATTCTGGAATCCCCCCTTCACATCCCAGAATGCCCATCCAGGGCCATCCTACTGATCCTCCCATCGCTAGACATCTTTGTGCTCTAGTAGGCGAGTTGCTTACTCTGACCTTGCTTATCCCACTTGCATTTCGACCCAACTACAGCCATTCGAGTGTCTGGGGACCTTAACAGGACTCGAACCTTACTGGGATTGAACAGGAGTAATGAGTATTTTAAAAAAAAAAAAAGCAGGACTCGAAGATAAGCGTAACAGTTAAGGCTATTAGAAGAAAGTAACTCTACGAGTTTCCACTCCGAAGACCTGAGCATGAGTTCTCGCTGATACCGACCCCTGCTTTAGAAGCCCAGCCAATCCCTACAAGGTTTTAATCTACCTAGGAGCCACCGTGTCCCCGCTCACTCTCGCTGCCTTTCCAGTGCCCAAAGAGTATTGACGGATGAAACTGTGTGATTCCAAGGCCCTCGGGGTCTCGCCGGATGACCCAATGCTACCAACGATATATTTTGGTTATGTAGGTCAGAAGCACGGGGACTTGCACACGAGAGGTGACCTGTCGTCCCAGCTTGCACTTGCACAGCTGGGCCAGTACGTAGGTAACCACTGGTAGCTGGGGCGTCGGTGCACCATGTCTGAGACCCTATTCCTCTCTTCGGTTGCGGGTTACCCCTAATCGAACCGACTGGTGGGAATTACCTGTGAAATCGCTCGTTGGGGTGGATGTTCCTCTAGGCCGGGCTGTTTGATTGGTCGGAGCGATGAGTGTGGGAGTCAATCGCATGGGGATTGGGCAGTCGTGTTTGTGATATCCGGCTGAGATGCTGAGCTGGCAGGGCCTCAGTACGGCGTGGCAGGGAAGAATTGCCGGATATCGTGGGATTTTGAAGTTTCGAAGCCTTGAGAAATCTGTGTTGTTGTGTTGCTGCGTACGAATTTAGGATATATTGAAGCTATCGACGGGCTCTATCGACTGGTGCTGGTTTGAGGCCCTGGGACCGCTATGTGGGTAGAGTTATGATACTTGGAACTACTAACTGTATTTCTTGGCGTTTCTAGAAAAGCAACCACAAGATTATCCGCTGTGAAGCTGCTATCATAAAAGGCACAGTGGTCTAATGGTATGACACCTGCTATGTAGGTACCTGCTGATTTCAGGCAGAGGGCGGGTAATCTGGGTTCAATTCCCAGCTGTGCCATTATTATTCCTTTAACTTTTATTTTTTAGTTTTTGGAAGAGATTGCTGCTAGAGGAGCTGCTCCACCTCCATTACTAAGCCATATTAGATTGCATTCAAACGCTCAGCCTATACCGCCCTTCCGGACGTAGTCTGGCTGGCACAACCTCTCTCGTTCAGATACCAAATACATAGTCAATAGAAGTCACGTATACCAGAGATGCTATCAATATTTTTCCCAGAAAGAAAAAAAGAGAGCTCCGCTGGGAATTGAACCTAGATCACCCACCCTCTGCGTGTTGCTTAATGATGAAAGACCGTATTGCGCTCTATGTCGGCCCCCCTTTGTATATACCTGCTCTAGAGAATTAAAAATAACCAACAATTAAATAGCTGAGTTACGCTTTCAGATCCACCTCCGCTACCTCCGCGCACTCCTTCACAACCGACCCCAAGGGCCCTACCCTATCAAGGGCTCATATAAAGAAACATACTTATGTAGATATCACTGCTCCTGCCCCGGTGCAA